GTTCAGAGGTCAAAGACCAGAGGATCAGAGCGAGGATAATAATAAATAATAATGTTGTAGTCATGATGCAGGTTGATTGACTTGAGCGAAGTAGGCCTAGCGTAGATTTGAATGAAGTTGTAAGATAAAACAAGAATCTTGTGACACTTGTCAGTCGCTCACGAAATTCACTCGCGCTAGTACGTGACGGAGCTTACTTCACAGTCAGTCACACCTCACGTGTGTATGTGTGTGTGTGTGCGTGTTTGTGTGTGTGTGGCGCAGTGTGTTGTGTTCAGTGTTCTAAATTTGGACTTCCTGTAACATTTCCGAGGAAAAGGGCCGACCTCGGTCGTCGGCTGTTTCGATCGAAGTTTGATTTTCCGTTGCCTGTGTCACAAGAAATATTCTCATTTTCACAGAAAGTAGAACGCTTTCTGATACTTGCACTTGTTGCCGCTAGATCTAGTCAGCCATCGCCCTCTGTAGACTTAGGTGATGAACGAATGGAAAGAATGACTAATGGGAAAATGCAGTAAGACTTGATCGTCGTCAAAATGAGCTCTCTTGTTTTATTGTTCTAGAATCTAGTTTCAAGTTCAGGAGGAGTAAAGACAACAGATTCGACCACAGCGCTATGGATATGCAAGGGAGTCCAATAGTCATAGATGTGCACTCGGACGAAGGTGAGAAAACAAGGATATAATATATCTAAAACATTATTTGAATACGGCATTGAATAACAGCGTTCATGTTTGTTAAAGTTGGGATGGCAACGGGAAGCCAAAACAGTTTGAATGATGAATGTTCTTCCAGTCCTCCTTCTGCTATAAAAATAATTCAATATCATTGACATTGACCATGCTAAGCTAGAGTCTAGATATCTATAGCCTAATACTAATCTAGACTCTAGATTAGATCTAGATATAGATCAATATCAAGATTTACCAGCCTGAGTTTAGTAACACTTTTAGAAAGAATAAAGGCGATTCATTTTATAGGTTTGGAGTTGGAGGGCACCTCTGCCACTGGAAGCTGTGTACTGTCTTCTTCTTTTTCTTCTTCTTCTCCTTCTTCTCCTCCTCCTTCTCCTTCATTTCCTTTATCTGTCTTTCTGTCTGTCTTACTTTTTCTCTTCACTAAATGACCACAATTATTATAATTGTGTTGATGTCTTTTTCTTTTAAACCAACAAACGTAAGCAATTTTATACATTTCGAATTATTTAGTAATTTCAGTCCTTTGTGAAAGTGGAAGTGGTGCAGTCGTCTATGTGGTACCACCGTGGCTAATATTTTTAGCAGTGATCCCTCTCCTATTTTTATGTTAACAACACAGGTCCCCACCACCTCTGCCCCCACTCCTGTGTATGTTAACAAATTGTGTCCTCACCACTTCTCCTGTATGTTACCAAACAGTGTCCCCATCTCTCCCCCCCCCCCTCCTGTATGTTAACAAATTTAATATAACAATATACAATATAGTGTCCTCACCACTCCTCCCTCTCCCCCCCCCCACCCGTGTATGTTAACAGTGTGTTCCCACCTCTCCTCCCCCCACTCTTGTATGTGGGTGGTTGGCAGGTGCTCTGGTGGGGTTTGCTTCTCTTTCCTATCAAACATCTATCATCCTGATCTCTTCCTCCTTCTTTTTTGTGTAACTTGTTACACTTCTCTTGCAACACACCTCAAATCTTCGGCACTTATATATATAAATGTATGACCTTATTGTGTTGCAAGTCCCATAAAACTCTTACTAAAACTATCTTGTATTGCAAGTCCCATAAAACTCTTACTAAAACTATCTTGTATTGCAAGTCCCATAAAACTCTTACTAAAACTATCTTGTATTGCAAGTCCCATAAAACTCTTACTAAAACTATCTTGTATTGCAAGTCCCATAAAACTCTTACTAAAACTATCTTGTATTGCAAGTCCCATAAAACTCTTACTAAAACTATCTTGTATTGCAAGTCCCATAAAACTCTTACTAAAACTATCTTGTATTGCAAGTCCCATAAAACTCTTACTAAAATTATCTTGCATTGCAAGTCCCATAAAACTCTTACTAAAACTATCTTGTATTGCCAGTCCCATAAAACTCTTACTAAAACTATCTTGTATTGCCAGTCCCATAAAACTCTTACTAAAACTGTCTCAGGAGTGTCCATGTTAACAAATTGTCTCCACCTCCCACTCCTGTGTATATGATATTTATATGTAGCAATACAGGTCCCCACCATTTCTCCTTCCATTCCTCTGTCCTTGTGTCAAAATGTTTCGGTGCTTGTAATTTATTGGGGGAGTGGGGAGTTGTGTGTGTGTGTGTGTGTGTGTGTGTAAAAGGGGGGGGGGGTGGTGGTCAAACTGAAGTTTGTCATAATTGTTATGAATGAACCATTTAAAGGTATTCTAAGGGTTTTTCAGTGATTAAACTTTGAATTCTTCCTACATGTATGCTTATTTTGAGGAGAGTCTCTTATATTAAAAACAATTTTATGTGAATGACAGAACAATAAGTTAATTTTTTGGGCCCAAAGTAAAATTTGTCATAATAGTTATGAATGAAACAGTGTGTCATAACGGTTATGAACAAAACCTTATTCCATGTAATTTACAGTTGTTTTAGGATGTATTTTTAATTTTAACCCAACTAAAGGACATAAAATAGACCTTGCATACATTCTGATATTTTGATTTTTATCATAATAAAGTGTAAAGTGTATGGGTGTGGATTTTAATTAGTATTATACTTTTGTAGTAATGGTTATGAACGAACTATTTATTGTCCATTTAATATATTTTCAGGGCTTTTCAGTGTTAATAAACTTTGAAAACATGTACAGAGGTACATATTATGAGGAGAGTTTCATTTTTATTTAATAAAAGTTTTAAAAAATGAATGACAGATCAAAATGTATTAATTTTAGGTCAAAATTGAAGTATGTCATAATTGTTATGAACGAACCATTTTTAAAAGGTATTCTAAGGGTTTTTCAGTAAATAAACTTTTCAATTCTTCCTACATAGAGGAATCTTATCAAATTTTAAGGAAAGTCTCATAAATGAAGACCATTTTATGTGAAAGACAGAACAATAAGTAAATTTTTGGGGCCCAAAGTAAAATTTGTCCTAATAGTTATGAACAGAACAGTGTGTCATAATGGTTATGAACAGAACAGTGTGTCATAATGGTTATGAACAGAACAGTGTGTCATAATGGTTATGAACAGAACAGTGTGTCATAATGGTTATGAACGAAACAGTGTGTCATAATGGTTATGAACGAAACAGTGTGTCATAATGGTTATGAACGAAACAGTGTGTCATAATGGTTATGAACGAACTTTAAATTTATGCATAACATGCCCTATGACCAGTTTGCGTTTAAAAATAGCTGTTCAATGGTCTTTCATTTATCACTTGACTATAATTAGACCAGAGTGTTATTTTAGACAATTCTAGTCAATGAAACTTGATATAATTGATAGTTTTTTGGTCACTTATTGTTCGTTCATAAACAACTTTTATGACACAAAAAAGCAATTTTATCAAAAATTAATAAAGATTTTATAAACTGTCAATTTTATGTATTTATGGAAGTTGTTTGCTCTGTCTCAAAATATAACCTCAGCCTAGCTGAAGAAAGGAACTTTGCGTATTCATAAATTTGTGTCATCATTGTTATGAACGAACTTTTTGCTATTTCCGTCGTTCAAGTCAGAATTACACCAAAACCATTGCATATACAGCTTTGGCAGTTACTGAGCCTGAAAGAGCAATCATTTGGCTATACAATATGGGTGATTAAAGAATTATTACATGAAGTTGATTTTGGACCTCATTTGTCACACCCAGGTATCCCACCTTTACGCAAACGCTCAGGTATGTTGCTCCAGGATCTGAATTTTGACAGAAACATGCGAGTTTTTCTAGCTGAGCAGTACAATTTGACTACTCAGTTTTTGCTCTCTGTTTTTGTTTGTGTTATTTGAACTTTTATAATTCTAATCTTTAGTTTTGTTGAACTTGAATTTGATTCGAAAGCCTAACAAAGCATATAAAATATAAAACTTATAGTTTTGGTGGTATCGCTTGATGATTCCTTGTCTCAGAGATTCTGAGCTGAGAGATGTCACAGGGCTCCCCAACACCTTTACATCATGTGGAAATATGTTTATATCTTCTGAAATCATCATCATCATCATCATCAGAAAGTGCCAGATCTGAAATTATTTATAGACATCAACGATTCTGGTTCTCCATTTCTCCGCTCGGATGCTCTTAAAAGTCCAGCGTTATCCCAGTGTTTCCGCGTCACTCATCAGTTCAGCTTCTCAAATAAGTTTCTCTTAATCTACCCCTGCCTTGTTTGTCTTCCATTTTTCCAGTGAGAACAAGATGTTCAAAGTCTTAATGTCGATTCTAGTGTCCTCGATCGAAACTGCATTTGTCACGTCTTAATTGAAGAGTTCAGGGGAAAAACGACCATAGTCACAATCAAGAAATTGTGAGGGTGCCGAGTTTAAAAGCTTGTGGACTCATAGCTTCATATTTTTTGTTTGACTGGTGGTTTATTGTTAAGTGTTGTTGAATGGGAAATCTAACAACAATAATCAACCAACAGGTGGACAGAAATACAGTTATAAATAAGAGTCAACAATTGTTCTCTCCTTCCTGTGAGCTGCCCACCTGGATTTCTCTTAGTACTACCTCATTTGATTTTTTTTCCTTCCATGAAATTCCCAACAGTCTCCAGTGGGTGGTTGGCGGGTGCTCTGGTGTGGTTTGCTTCTTCTTTCCTATCAAACATCTTCTATCGTCCTTATCTCATCTTCTTCTTTTTTATGTTTGTTACTCTCTTGTAACAGCTCTAATCTTCTGGCGCTCATATGACCTTATGCAGTTGCGAGCGCCGTAAAACCTCTACTAAAACTAAACTAAAACCACAGTCTCCTGAACTTTCCTTTCTGTTGCTTTCAGTTTCAGTATGTTTAAATAATTGTTCTGCATTCACAGACATCGCAGGGTTAACCACACAAAACGTTGTAATAGAACTCATATATTTCAGCAGGTAGCCATTGAGATGTTTCTATTTTTCAGGATAGGACTCTAATTACAATTGAAGCTGTCTTTATTTAGCAATTGCAATTCTCCGTTTTATTTATATTGCAAAAATATTTGATTTTTCTTCAGTTTGGATTTACCCTTTGTTCTTTATGCAAACAAAGTATGCACTTTCACCTCAAATCAATCTCATTAATTTGGTACTCTCCGCATTTTGCTCACTAAGACTAAATAACCTAAGACATTGTTTAGTATTAAGTGTCCACCTTTCCACTGGCTCTCGGTGCACAGGATTTCAGAAAAACAACAGCAATCTATTGTCTTTGACCAGTAGACACTCCCATATTTACTTGTGTCCCACAGGTGTTTACACGTCCACCACTGATTCTGTTGTTATTTGCATAGATCCATTGTTCCATTTCCGTTTTGGTGGGAAATATTTGTCCATGACTTTTTTTAGTAGACGTACTTCTTCTTTAATAATTTCCTGTTAATAAAAATGGACTATTTTGCTGCTGGTTGCTCGTACGTCGTGTATTCTGTGGACACAAGAGTCAAAAGTTCCTCCTTACTGTGACTGACATACACTAATGTCGTTTAAGATTGTTTCCATTTCTACCCCAAATAGCAGTCTGTTTTATATATCTTATTTTCTCTACACCCTTCAAAAGAGAAAAATGAAAGCAAGAGTATATTTTGTTTGTAAAACAATGTATTTTGTCTGGGTCACTGTACTGTATGGGTGAAAGCTGCCGCTTGTTACTATTTCATTTCTTTCTTTCTGTTCTTTCTGCCTTTCTGCCTTTTCTAATTACATTTTCATGCAGGAACCGTTATCGTGTGAATTTACCTGCCTGTACTCAAACTGTTGTTTCTTATTTACAGATGAAGATGATGATGATGTCGTGTTGGTGAAAGAGGAAAAGGTCTCGCCGTCGAAGCAGCAGGTGGATGAAAAAGACGAGGATGTGATCTTTGTCTCGGAGGTGCCCGCAAGGTCGCAGCGAGGGGCCAAACGCGGGGCGGATAATCGCCCTGCTGGGAGACAGGTTGGTTGGCTTTGTCCTCGTTCTGCTCAATGTCGGTCCTCACCACCTCTCAAAATATTTTAAATGTAAAGATGTCAAAACTCTTTTTGACATTGTTAACCCCAGAAAAATTTTAAGTTATGTTAAAGAAAGAGGACAGTTTAATAGGATATAAGAATATATAGTTATCGTTGTCAGTGTATATACATGACCCTGAAATTAATATTGTATATATATACAAATGTAAATAAGTCTTTACCATATTTACAAAAATTTTTATAAATGTCTGTCCATCCTTTTCGCATGATGATGATTATATGACAGTGTGTAGTTGCGAGCGCTGAAAAACTTTTACTAAAACATGACATGATCCTTGATTTGTTGTGGTGAAACCTATCGGCACTTAAATGACAAAATTGAGTCGGTAGTGCCGTAAAACACCTACTCAGCGATAGTGGCGTAAAACACCTACCCAATCATCAACCACCTCTCCTCCCCCTCCTCCATGTGGGTCCTCACCCAGGGTTCGTACGGGTCGTGGAAAACTGGAATACTCTTGGAAAATTCTTCGAAAGGTCTCGGAAAAACACATTTTTACAGATTTTATTGTAAAACTATTTCCTCGAAGTTTCGAAGGCCTCGGCTTTGCACACTCGGAGGTGTACCATAATATATTTTTGCATGCTGGACGAAAAATCTTCTTCCAAAATGACACGTTCTTTGTCTTGGAAAAAAGAAATCTGGTCTTGAAAATTCTTGGTAAAGTCTTGGGGAAAAAATCTCCTTCTCAGTATGAACCCTGCTCACTGCTCACCCCCTCTCCTTCCACGCCTCGATGAGTCTCTGTGTGTTTGAAGAAACGCAATGTACATCATTCTCCGTTAACTCACTGAAGATTGAAGGATTTTACTATGTACAAGCACCGTAGACTGAAGGTTGTTGGGTTTTTTTTCAAAATTATATATATGTAAAATCTTATCCATTTCACCAACTGTAATGCCCTTTTGACACAATCAAGAACAACTCAAGAACAGTCAACGTTCCGGAGTACAAGTGTCCTTCTCTTCTAGATTATTTCTCATGATTTATTTTTTAAAAAGGTATAAAATTCAATGTTTAACAAATTTACAACATAAAAGACCCCGGGCCCCATGCCACACCAGCCACAAACTAACTAGTTACAGTTTATGAGGAAAGTTACTGTGTACGGGGAAAGTTACAGTTTACGAGAAAAGTCACAGTTTTCTGGGAAAGTGACAGTGTATGGGGAAAGTGACAGTTTACGAGGTCACGTGTGCAAGTAGCACACATTAAAGATTCCTTGGTGGTCCAAAATCGATTAGAGTTGAGGCTTCGGCCCCCACCTGGGCAAAATTCAAAATTTCCTACCAACTGAAAATGTTAAGTGTGTCCCGTGCGCTCATATGACCTTATACCTTATGCAGTTGCGAGCGCCGTAAAACACTTACCAAAAATGAAAAAAAAAGAAAGAAGGTCAGGGAGGTCAAGGGTCAGATTGTCCAACTCTTTATCAGTTTGGCACAGTTACCACGTAGTACTGGTGTGTAGTATGTGTCCAGACTTGTCACTTTGGTATGTCATCTTACATGTCACACTGGTACAAAACCTTGTATGTGACATTGGTTAATATTCTTACAAGTCACTTTGGTATGTAAGCTTACATGTCACTTCTTCTCTATTTAAACATGTATCGTCGTGTTTGTTGCTCTCTTGTAACACCTCTAATCTTCGGCACTTATATGACCTTATTGCATTACAAGTGCCGTAAAACTCTTACTAAAACTTAAAAAACAAACAAACTGCCATTTTCACTGCTGTTTTGTATCTCACCCCCCCTCCCCTCCCCCACAGCCTGGACATGGTGGTCAGCGAAACAACAACAACAGCAACAACAACGACACCAACAGCGATGAGGAGGAGGACCTGTTCCCCCTGCCCACGCTCCCCACCCTCCTGTGCTACCCGCCGGGCTGCGCCCCCATCAACGTAGTGGAAGACATCCTGCGACCTCTTGACCTCTCTCAGGCCGCCCTGCTCGAAGGTCATGACCCTGAAGAGGAGGCAGAGCATCATCCGGATTCTGCGCCGGAGAACGGGGTCCCAGCATGCACCTCCTCCGCGGCTCTTGTCTCGTTGGCAAACGCTCAGGATTCCAAGCCATCGGTGCTCTCCGCTGAGCAGAACGTAACCGCCGACTCTTTTACCGACTCGATTTCTTCTCAAGGCGTGAACGTGAGTGTGGCTTCTCTTCTTCACGCAGCAAACAGCGCAAATAGCTGTTCTGATAATGATTCGATGCAGTTGGATTCGATACCTCACTCAGCAAACAGCGCAAACAGCCAATCTGATAATGACGCGATGCAGTTGGATTCTATACCTCACGCACCAAACAGTGCAAACAGCCATTCTGATAATGACGCGATGCAGTTGGATTCTATACCTCACGCACCAAACAGTGCAAACAGCCATTCTGATAATGACGCGATGCAGTTGGATTCTATACCTCACGCACCAAACAGCGCAAACAGCCATTCTGATAATGACGCGATGCAGTTGGATTCTATTCCAAACGGTGCAAACAGCCAATCTGATAATGATTCGATGCAGTTGGGGTCTATACCTCACGCACCAAACAGCGCAAACTGCCAATCTGATAAAGACTCGATGCAGTTGGATTCTATACCTCACGCTGCGAACATCGCAAATAGCTGTTCTGATAATGATTCAATGCAGTTGGATTCAATACCTTACACAGCAAAAGGCACAAACAGCCAATCTGATAATGACGCGATGCAGTTGGATTCTATACCTCACGCAGCAAACAGCTGTTCTGATAATAACACGGTACGGTTGGAGCCAACAGCTTTCTCATCTGCACAGGACGTGCCAAACAACAGCTCAGGAAGACAGAGTCGTGACCTGGCGGCGTCTACTGACGCAACTGTTGGCACGGTGACCATGCACGAAGTCTCCACAGTGGCGGGTCTGACTTTTGATGCCACGCCACGTACCACTGCTGTGTCATGTGCCACTGCCGCGCCAGACTCCGAATCTGTTGCCGCTGATGTCGTGTCAAAAGATTCTTCCTCCTCCGCAAAAAGTGACCTCAGGGAAGAAAATCCCCTCCCAGTTCCCTCCCCTGCTCCGACACACTTCTCTAATAATAACTCATCGGGATCTACCGCTTGCCTTTCAGTACCAAACTTGTCGTCCGACAGTTCGAGTGAACACAAACTGGACGATTTAGGACTCTCTGGGGACGAAGTGAAGAATTTGATCAAGTTTTTGCCTTCCCTCCTCTCGGAGAACGCCCTGAACAAAACGACTTGTCCGCCTGTGAGTGGCGCTACGGCGTGTGATAAATCAGACAGCGGGCTTTCTGTGAATGTTACAACTTCTGTGATTCCAACGAGTGAAGACCAAGGGGGAGTGGCCATTCCTCAATCTCCAAGCCTCCTCCAAGGAGGAAGTGCCACCGGTCGCCTCCTTCCCTCGGATGAAGGGGAGAAAACCGCAGCTCCTGGATCGTCCTGGGATGAAATGGACGCGAGCGATCGACCCACGGCTCAGGATATGATGTGTCCCAGCCCACCAAAAAAATCGTGTCGCAGTTTACGTTTACGGCAGAGCCATGGTGACGAATACGCAGCCGCACCCACAAGTGGCCAGCGGTCAGAAAAGAGCGGTGTGGAGATGGGCAAACTGGGGGCGGCAAGTGTTGCTGTGTCTAGTGGGAGCGTTGTCGGTTTACGAAAACACGGTCAAAGGAGTGGAGGGTGTTGTCCTAAATCTGGCCAGGTTGCTACTCGATCGTGTGAGACTGGGCCAGCTCAGGGGGGTCAGTGTACGTCCACGTCTGTGTGTGCGTCTGTGTGTACAACTGTTAGTGCGTCTGTCTGTACATCCAGACCTGTCGGTACGTCGTCAACACTTGTGTGTAATTCTGTGATAGCATCGCCTTCTGTGGGAAGTCAGGACAGCTACAGTGCGGGGGATGTTGCGGGAACGAATTCCGTGGGGGATGTGGCAGGAACGAATGCTGGGGGAACGAATTCTATGGGGGATGTTGCGGGAACGAATGCTGCTGAGAAATTGACCAGAAGCCAGTCTCAGCTCAACACCCAAGGCCCTCCTGGCACTTCCTGTCGGTCCTCCCCGCGTACGTCCAGAGGGCCAAAACCGCGGGCTGGTGGCGTGTGTCGGCATCACAAAACGCTGGAAACTAGCCAGTGGGATTGTGCTCAGTGTTTCACCGCGCGGCCAGCGAGGAAGCCCAAGGTCAAAGCTCGATTGTCGCCCGGCAGAAGACGCAGCCAGAGCCCGTTGCAGGAGGGTGCTGTGTCCTCCTCCGTGACCTCGCCTCCTCTCCTCGTATCCTCCTCACCTCCCTCCTCGTCCTCCCAACCCCCCTCCTCATCCACCCAGCCTTCCTCCTCATCCTCTTCAGACGGGCCTGTGGGTCGGGGCAAGAGGCGGAAGGTGGCGGAGATCAGGAGAGCCAAGAGTATGCTGACGAGATCGCATCACGTCGCTGGGAATTCCCCGAGGGACGCACCGTCATCTGTTACTATTCATAGATCGGTGTCCGACTCTGGACTGGTCGGGCAGGCTAACGAAGGGGGGCCCGGTGGTGCCAGGGACGATGTGAGGGGCGGTGCGGGTGGGCGGGGGGAGGGGGCAGACGAGGCGGTCCCCAGCTGTATGTGTTGTAGAAAGGCGTGTCAGCTCAGCGCGTTGTCCTTCTGTGTCGCTGGCCATGGCACGTGCGTCACCTGCCTGGAGGCTCAGGTCAAGGCCGTTCTTACCGGAGATGTCAAGGTCAGTGTTCTGTTGCTTTGTTTTTCTTTTTACCAAAATTTATTCTTGAATTTCCATATCTTGGCTCCATGTTGTGTTTGATGAATTAAGAGATGCTTATATCCCCCCC